GATTTAACTTTTTTGTTACTTAATTTAGGTTTAATAATATTTTTTTATAAAGATAATAATTAAGTATTATATTAGAACTCAATAATTATCTTAATTATATTTAGATTTTTTATATTTTAAAATTAGATATTTATCATCTATTTGATTATGTTTATCCGCAGTTAGTTACACGAATTCAGACATAGAGCTTTAATATGTTGTACTTATGTAAAATCTTGAATTTTAAGTAATATGCATTAATAAACAATACTTCATGCATAAAATTGGTTTTTAAGAGTTTTTGTCAAATGTTTTATAATATAGTATAGATATATATATACACATACATATATATATATATACATATACAGGGGCCCATTTAAGGAAAAACTGAGTAGTTTGTGGTAACGTGAGATCCAATTTCAACCACAAATCAATAGATAAATTAGTAAAAATTTCTAATTTTGGTAATTTTTAATTAAAATTTTAATGCAAGAACATTTTAGGTATTTTCTCTCCTCTCTTCTCTTCTCTCTCCGTCCCCGTCTTCCGGCCTCCGGCCACCTTCCTCCGGTGATACCACAGTGTGATACTCAAGCACATATAAGATGCATTGTGATACCACTGTTTACATATCCGATCGACCACACAAACTACCTCAGTGTGATACCCAATCACATATAAGATACCCAATCACATATAAGATACAGTGTGATACCACTGTGGTATCACCGGAGGACAATGGCCGGAGGCCGGGAGACGGAGAGAGAAGAGAGGAGAGAGAAGATAGGAGATAAAATACATAAAATGTCCTCGAATTAAAATTTTAATTAAAAATTACTAAAATTATAAATTTCTTAATTTATCTATTGATTTGTGATTGAGATTGGACCTTACGGTTACCACAAACTAATTAGTTCTCATTTGATTAAGCCCCTATATATACATATACATATACATATACATATACATATACATATACATATACATATACATATACATATATATATGTGTGTGTATACTGCTGTTTTCTTATTTGAGATGGGTTTTCTTTAAGTTGTAAAAAAATTGTCTACAAATTATAGTTCTTAATATATTAATTATTTATACTTAAATGCTTTATTATTCTTGAAATTTAAAAGTTTTACATAATATGTTATTAAAACATATTTTCTTTAATTAAATACGTTCAAGTCAGAAAATGCAATGGATAAAAATTGGGCACGTTAAGTTATACGACACAACTTTTATGTGTTCTTATAAATCACATATATATATATATATATTTATATGTATCATGATAATAGCAATTTAATTAATATTTTCTTTTTTATTTTAATCAAATAACCTAATTAAAATCATCCGTAATTGTTGAAAATAATTCATATTCATTCCATCAAATTGTTCTTCTCTAGTTTTCTTGCTCTAAATTGATTAAATTAGTTTAAATTTAGGTGTTTATAGCATAATTAGTTAGGGGCTATTTATCGACGCTTACCCAAGTAAGTGTTTACCGGCAAAATCAACTCTACCACTTACTTAGCGGGTGTGATTTTAGTCCATCAGAACAGTATCGTATGTAACAATTTACCCGGTAAGTGCTAATTGTAGTAAAATTCGCTGTCCTCGCTTACCGGATAAAACTCTTGATCCTTGTCTTTGTTCTTACCAGGTAAGATTCTTGGTCCATGCCAATATGCATTAAGAAAGATAATGTGACTTGATAATTGTTTACCCGAGTAAGAGTTAGGGCCGTTTACCAAACGCTAACCCGAGTACCAAGTATGCATAATAGTATTAAAATTTAGCGATAAACATTTACCGGGTAAATGTTTGATAAACGACTTATTAATTACCCATTTTTGTGTAGAATATGTAATGGGTCCATATTGACAATGAAAGTTACCAACACTTTTATTCAATGTTCTCCTTTTCAAAGATTTCATTCTCTTTCCAACCATTTAATAATATTCCCTCCATCATAAAAAACCAACATGGATCCATTCTCAGAATTTAATTTAAATAATTAAACATAATTTATACAAAAATAATAAATAATTAAAAAAAGATAAAAATTGTGAAAAATCACACACGGTTCAAGAAACCAATTATTTTGGGTATTTTCTATTCCTTCAATCTTAAAATCAGATCAATTCATACATTGAAGATACAAAAAGTAGACATTGCTCCAGCCGGTTCTCAGTTCTCAGTCTCGACTCTTACTCTCTCAATATCTCACACTCACTTAATTTGCTCAAACCCGAGACCATCCGGTCAAACTGTGATTCTGCGAGCCTTTATTCAGCTTAAAGGCGCATCCTCTCAATAAAATTTATGGGTTCGCCACTATTTGGGTTCGCTACCAGGTTAACCTCTATGCCTCCACTCTAAGGCTAGACAGCCTAGACTTCCATTGTAACGCGTTACGACGTGTTATGGCACGTTACAACGCGTTATTTTCTAAATTTTTTCTTTTTAGTTTTTATTACTTTATGTTGAATTTAATTTGTTCTTCAAAATATTAACACACACAAGTGTATATGTGTGTCTATATATACATATATATATATATATAAATATATATATATATATATATAGAGAGAGAGAGAGAGAGAGAGAGGGGAGGAGATATTTTGCAAACCAAACCATTTGTACAAACCGTGAAAACCGTCGATTTCGTCCTTTATTTTAGTGAATTTTTTTCATGAAATTGTTTCAAATAATTCTAATAATTCATTGAAATTTTTTCATAATTATTTGAAACAATTTCATCATATTAAATAATTTCATGAAAAAATTTCACTTATTAACTAGAAACAAATACCAATTATCCGTTTAAATAGAATTCATGATTTAAAAACATTAGATTATATTAACCCTCGTAAATTTGTTAAAAAGTTATTATGAATTAGTTTAGTTTACATAATTATACATATTGGGCCTTCATTTGAGAACCCCTAAAATTGTAATAACTTTGAGAATCGATGCATCATGTACCATGTCACTTTATCTCTTTCCATCTATCGCTTAGATTCAATATATAACATATATTTGTTTACAATGTGTTTGTTTTACATATATTTGTTTCATAATGTGAACGTTTTTTTATGTGTTTATGAAACAAAAAATATAACTAAAAAGTTTTACATTATGAAGCGAATACATATGAAAAAAACACATCATGAATCAAATATATTAAATTCTAGCCTTAGATGGAAAAAATCATGTGAAACAATACCTTAATATAATAGTTCTCACAGTTATCACAATATATGGGGTTCTCATTTGATTATACACTATTGTTAACTGTTAACCGTTAAATGTATGCTTATAAAATTAATAATGATATTACCTACTACGATTGAAAAATAGGTTGCTAAATAAAATGGGAGATCAATGGACTAACGATTGCGCAATTACTTATGTGATTTTAACTGTATTATGCTACACATCATATGTGATTCTGTTTTTGTTATTTTTTTTTCAACGTTTAATTTGAATCATTGTTTTTCAATATTTAAATCATATATGATTAGGAAAACATTTTATAAAAAATTAATTGTGAATCACATGTGATTTTGATAAAAATTATAATTTTTTTTAAATATTACTTTAACAAAAATAATTCTTTAAAGGAAAATTAAATAAGTTTATATTAAATATATTAATTAAAAAATTAAAATCATAAACATAATAAAAATAGAATATTAAATAAATGCCTTAAATAATTTTTATGTAACTAAATTATATTTTTAAGCTTTGTTTAATTATTTTTAAAATTAATTATTTGAGGCATTATTTAGCAAACTGTATGGTTCGTATTCATTCTTTTTAAATACATATCATTCTCTTATGAACCCGATTCTATGAAATCAATATTTTAAATATTATTATTTGACTAAAAAAATACGTAAAAAAGTATTTTTAAAACAATTCTCATGAATTTATAACTTCTTTTTTTTATTAACCTGGATATCCAACCCGCTAAGCCGATTAATCCTTATGGTGACCCCCTGTTTTGCAGATAGATCGGAGTCATCGTATTTGAACCTTCATGACCACAAAGAGATTTTTATTCTCCTTGGATTTGACCTGGGACTTCCTGGTACTTTTGACCTTTGGAGCCAAGCTCAAACCAATCAGGCACTGCCCTTATGGTTAATTTATAACTTTTTTATGGCTCTCATTTTGACTTGTCCCATATGTATGTATTTTATGCATGATATGAGTATTGAAATTTGTGTTTACCTTCAATTAAAACATGCATTCTTGAAGCTCCTCTCTACATCACTCACTACAACAATATTGTATTTATAGAACGCCATCAATTGTTAAGTGTTTTAATAGACTATTTTATAAGACTTAATTTGTAGGACCAAAAATTTAAGCGTTCCATTTAAAAGTGTTATAATAAATTTATTGGACACTTTTAATACAAAAAGTCATATAAGCAATTTTATAAACGATCTTTTTTATAGGACACTAGTTTTTATAGGATATTTTTTCAAATAGCGTCCTATAAAATTGCTAATGTGACGCATTGTATAAAAGATGTCCTAAAAAACTTGTTAAAACGGCCTCCAAAAGCGTCCTATAAACTTATTACAACGTTTTTAGATTAGATGCTTTATTTTTTTTGATTTTATAAATGAAGTCTTATAAAACGGTTTATTAGAACGGGTAGCAATTGGTGGCATCCCTATAAAGCCGATTTTATTGTAGTAACTTCTAATCTTCTATAAACCACTCCAAACTTTTCTATACACAATGATCGGCCTTCCATGAGCCGCACCATCTTCATAACTCCATTTTTAGCTGACTCGTGAGCCAAGAAGCTGTCCACAATCGACAATCAGCTCAAACGAACATTCGATCTCTCATCTACATTAAAAAAATCAATTCGGGATTTACCTAAATTGCCTGAACAGTCGTAGCTTAACAGTGAGTTCTCTGGTGTCATCAAAGTATTGATCTCATCATGATACCATACCGGTTGTGTGTTCACTTTTGCTTGTTCGTCGAGACCCCATGATTGTGAGACCATGCCCGTGAAGTTATAATCCATCGGTGATCCACTCTGTAAGATTTCCAACCGAGATGAATAGAACGCAAAAGGCGTAACCTTTAGGGGTAAATGCAATTGGTAAAATTTTGGGCTTGCTAGTTGCCACTTAGAGTTCAGCAGTTCGAGTCCTCTTAGAGGGTTTGTCTAACTATTAACTTCAGGGCCCCATGGGATTAGTTTGAGACGTGCATAATCTGACCTGGATTAACACCCACTATTACCCAAAAAACAGAAGATAAAAAGTGTAAAAAGAGCACTACCCACGAACTAAGATTATCGGCCAATGAATGTTATGCATAAGCTAAAACCGAACAAAATAAACTCAATATATACCATGCAGAGATGTTGCCTAAACCTAGCCCAGAAAGGTTGTTTTCGTAAAGATCGACCTCTGGCTTGCTAAATAAATCAAAAATTCAAGGTGGAGAGATTGTTACCTCTGAAGGAAACAAACTGTCAACGTTTAAACCAATTGTAGGGTAAACAGCAGCCAATTTCATTGATAACAACTGTAGTAAAAATGAAAGTTTAAAAAGAAAAGTAAGTTATAGCAACTTGTCTTTAGCAAGGCATGTTTCACTGACAAGCTATAGCAACAAAAGTCGTCGCTATAAACTGTTTGTGATGATAAATGGACTTATAACAACGACAGAAATCGTCCCTAAAACCTATGTTTTAAAAGATTTGAGTATAAAGAATCATTGAGAAGATTGAATAAGATTATTAACCTCTACTTGAAGTTGCAGGGATTGTACATGATTGATGATCTCGTCGAGCACCATCGCTGTTCCAGCAATCTGCAAATACGAATCATATCTTTAGTAAATTGACAAGTTTTTTGAAATATAATCGCTTAGATGTCGAAGAAATGTGGCAAATATTTCATGCAAGTAGTCATTTGTTATGTATAGAGAGAGTCAGATTCATACGAGAACAATAAGCAAAAAAAAAAAGAGAAAAACAGCTGAATTACATGTGATTTACACTAATTGTTATGTTTTGACAACTCGTCAATAATTTGAATTATTTAAATCCCATGATTTTAGGATCCTCTCTTAATTTTAAACAGTTATTAGTCTCATTATTTTCTCTCTTTCCGTAATTCCTAATTAAAAACCTACAAACCCTCTCTCTCTCTCTCTTCCCTCTCCTTAAAAGAGCAGTTTCTTTATTCAACGCACCAATTCAGCGACCATACAGAAGATTTGTCTACCATCACTTACTATCGTTCCTCATAATCGACTCCACCATATTCAACCCACCACTTCGACAAACACACAACTTTGATGACCATAACACCTAATGTTCACTCTCACCGTCATTCCCCAAAGTCGTCTTTGCCATAAACAAAAGATGTATTGCTTTTGGAGTTAATATTATCAATGAGGAACTCAGAGTTAATAACATTGATGAAGATCCTTTTTCAAGGTTAGGAACTCGATGTATGCAGTGAGTATCATATCGTGTATCTTAGGGTATTACTCATATAGTTGTACAATTGCTATCATGTCGTGTATCTTAGGGTATTACAACGTGTATACAGTGGGTATCAGTGGGTATACAGAGAGAATGATCTTAATTAAACTATAGTGTGTACAATGGGTATCACATTGGAATGTTCATTCCGAAGGGGAGATGAGAGATAAGATTTCTAAAATAACTACAATACCATTTACTTAAAATCAAAATTAGCAAAATTATTAAATTTTTGAATTTAACATTTTGATTTGTGGTTGAAATTGGATCTCACAGATCACACAAAATATTGAGTCTCCCTTAAATGGCCCATATATATATATATGTGTGTGTGTGTGTGTGTGTACATATACATAAACTGCAAACCAAATTATTAGTACAAACCATGAAAACTGCATTCAACCAATCATATTTTTTTCTTTTTTTTAATCATGAGAGTTGATAAATTATTTTGATTGTGGAAGACATTAATTATGAACATTATCATCTTCATTCTCTTAATTTTAGTAAACAAATTTCATCAAAATGAAAAATGCATGAAACAATTTAATTTTTACTTAAAAACAAAAATATATGAAACAATTTCATCAAGAAATGAATTATTTGGAATAATTTCATCATATTAAACAACTTCATGAAAAAGTTTCACTAAATTAAATAATAAAATCGACAGTTTTCACGATTTCTACTAATGGCTTGATTTGCATTTTATCCATCTCGTGTGTGTGTGTTTGTATGTGTGTGTGTATGTGTATATATATATATATATATAGAGAGAGAGAGAGAGAGAGAGAGAGAGAGAAATAACAATTCAAATACAAACCATGGAAATATTATCAACTATATAAACCAATCTCAACCGTCCATCTATTTTTACAAATAATTGGTTTAATAAATATATAGATTATTTTCTAATATAAAGTGTTGATTATAATTAATGAACTCTAATCATATTTCATAAACATTTAAATGATAATAAATAAACCTTCAACATTTTCATAAATATTTTAACTGATTCCTTTGTATGGTTTTAGAGGCGTAAATGATGTGAATTGAATTCGAGTATTGAAATACACAACTCGAACTCGATAGTCATTTCTCAAACTTGAACTCGTTTGAAGCTCGAACTCGAATCAAGTTCGAACCAAGCTCATCCATTGAAATTTATGAAATCGGTAGTCTCTTATAAATTATAAAACTCAAGGTGTTCTCTTGAAATTTCTAAAACTAAAGGGATGTACCTCAAACTTCATCATAAAAAAAAAAAACAAAATTACAAACTCCACTCACCTCCCTTTCTTTTTATAACACTTTTCACCCTTCTTTTATTATCTTTCTTTCAATGTGGGACAACTTCACTAAACACTCTTATAGTTTTTTTTTCTCTTTTTTTAATTATGATTTTAATTTTAAAAAAATAATGATTGATTAGTTTTTATAGTTAAAAAATGCTCAATTTTTGTTTAAATATCTAAAATTATAAGACATTTTTATCATATTATATTTTACAAATTACATTGTAAAAAAACTGATTACAGTTTAAACCTAATTATATTTAAAAAAATCAAGTATCTCACAAGCTTTTCGAGTCGAGTATTGCTCGATTCAACTTGTTAATATGTTTTTACTTTTTATAGGGAAAAAAGACAAAATAGTAGGTAAGAGGTTAAAATGACCCCTGAGTCAACGAAGTTAACAAATGCGTTAATCAGAGGGACCATGACCAAAACAAACTGAATACCACAAGAACCAGATCCAAAAGAAACATACCATAGAGGTCGTAGTAAAAGAAAATATCAAAACACAAGGATCAAATCCACAATTCACTCTAAAACTAATTTAATAGTTTTTTTTTTAATTTTTCATTTTTTTGTAATTTTCTATACATGTTCTTATATTTTGCTACAGTGAGTTTAATTTTAATGTATATAATTATCTCATTTTAAATATAAAGAATTCAAATGTTGCTTATTTCAATTTTTTAATTATTGCCCTACATGAGTACAATTTTTCAAACTGAATGTTTGAATTCATATAACTAAATGATAAATATAATAAAATACATGATAAATATCTCATTTTAAATATAAATAATTTAGAATATAAGTAGGATAATCATTGAGTTTTAACAGAATAGTTAGTTATTATCTTTATAAAAAATTACATTATCTATACTATATTATAAAGCATTTGGCTAAAACTCTTAAAAACTCTTATAACTCTTAAAAACTCTTAAAACTCTTAAACTCGTTTATCCCTAAACGATTTCATCCCATATTTGAATTCGTGTAACTAACTGCAAATAAACACAATCAAATACAGGATAAACATCTCATTTTAAATATAAAAAATCTAAAATATAATTAATATAATCATTAAATTCTAACAGAATACTTAATTATTATCTTTATAAAATTTATAATATTAAAGCATTTGACAAAAACTTTTAAAAACGATTTTTTATGCACAAATACTGATATTGATGCATATTACTTAAAATTTAAGATTACAAATAAATTGTGCATTAGTATAACTTATTAAAGCTCCATACTTGAATTCGTCTAACTAACTGCAGATAAACATAATCAAACATATTAGATAAACATCTCATTTTAAATATAAAAAATCTAAAATATAATTAGGATAATCATTGATAACTAACAGAATACTTAGTTATTAT